GGGCAGCAACAGGGTTGGTGAGACTGCGAGGGGTCTGCAATGGGAACCCCAGACCCCAGAGCTGAGTCTGGATTTCCAGCCTGCCACCCCCAGAGCTTGTGTGCTGTCTTCCTGCACTGGAAATAAAATTACCCAGAGCCATGTGAAGACCTCAGCAAGAACATGGTGGGCACTTCGTGTCTGCACCTGGTACCCATTGTCACTCCCTCGTAGAAGTGCTGGGGAGGATGGAGGGGGTGCCGTCTGATAGGAGTCAAGGAAGTGGCACTGCCTGGAGCACATTCTCATGACCTCTTCCTGCCCGGTTGGTATTGCAGTTCTTTGCCTTGAAATGCCCCCCACCCCCCACCCCGCCGCCCCCTGGGCCTCACCTGGGCTATGCATGAAGGAACCTCAAAAGAGGGGCAAAATGACCTGGATAAACTTGCAACTTTTCTTTTGGAGCCAGAGGAAGGATAAGGGAGACTCTGCTGGGCTGCTTCCCTGGCAGCCACTGTCTGGTTCCTTCCAGCTGGGGTGTGAGGTAACCATGTGGGAAGCCCAGGTCTTGGCTAAGAATCTGGGAAAGAGATCTTGATGGGAACTATGCTTTGTGTGTGTGAGTCTAGATGATAGAAATTTGTGTTCTAAACAGATGGCTTATCAAACCTGTAATAAGGAGGCTTTCTGACCTGAATTAGATTTTCTCTGTAATCTCTGCTTTAAGGAAATGTCTGCTGAATTCCATAGTGAAAAAGTCACATTCGTTAGGGTTTCATAAAGAAAAAGCAAGATAACTCTTCCAAGAGCTAGAGACTGTAGCCAGCAGGTCCTGCTCAGGGACAAAGCAGGGGAAGCATCCCTTCCAGATGAAGGGCAGGGGTGGCCATGGGGCCTGGACCTGGTCTGGTTTTGCAGAATTTACAGGTTTATATTCTTAAAAAGATTCTCTTAGTCTATTGAGCTGCGACCTACTATTGTCATAAATGACAGCTCTGTGCAATTTAAAAGCACCAGTTCCCATTTAGATGTGCCCATGTTCTCATTCCCTACCTCACTGACTGGCTCTCCACAGCCTGGCTGCCCCTCAGGCCCCAGCAAGAGGCTCTTATATGCAGCAGAATAGTCACTTGTGGGTGAATCATCAAGGCTTAACAGACCCAGGCCCTGTCCACGGAGGCAGGTGGAAGGGAGCTACAAGGGACCAGCTGATGGAGGCTGCGGCTCTTGGAGGCTGTGCGTGGCCGTGCATGGCACGGTGGGGATTTAGACACAGTTTGGGCACAGGCCATTGCAGATGTAGGCTGACAGGTCTTCGGGCTCCAGCAGGACCGAGCTTCAGTCTGCAGCCCCGTGGATTCATCTGTGGCTGTTCTGGACAGAGCGGATGTTCCTGTGACAGTCCCTGGGGATGAGTCTTGCCTTTGTGTTTCCGCTTTAGTAAGCCTGCTGGCTCTTTGTGCCTAACACCATCAGCAGCTGGTGCACTGGGGACAGGTTCAGGGCTGCAAGCCCAGCAGCCCGAGTGTGGATGGATGAAGAATGGACCACGGGGTTGAGTACTTGGCAGTCAGGATTTCCAGGCAGGGCCATCCTGGAGAGAGCCACCCTGGGAGAAGTGCCTGCCTTTTGTTCCACATCAGCCGGCCTCTCTGAAGGGGAGGGGCTGGTGAGTGGCTCCCTGGGATGGAGGAGACAGGCAATGGCCTTTGTCTAGGGCCACATTGCTATAATCCTGCTTTAAATGACTTTATGTAGACTGTCCCAGAGGAGTCAGAAAGCGAGTTCCTAGCAAAGCTGTAATGGGTTGGTAACTGTTCCATAAAGTTTATAGAATGAATCGATTGAGAGCTGAAATGCCCTTAAATGGGCTTTAGTTACTATAAGCCACCATTTGCACACAAGACCCCCACTTCTGTGTCACCTAAAGGCCATTTGGCAGCAGAGTTGAGATCAGCTGGCAGGCCTCCCCCTCCCCCTTGTGTCCTGAGCTGTTTCCTATGCTATTTCTAGCTGAGATAAAGTAGGTGAGGAGTGAGGGCCGAGTTCCCAGCCTGTACCCATGCTGGGCTGAAAAGCCACACACACATCCAAGATGTGATTAAAGAGAGAGTGGAAGAAGGGGCAAGTATGAAGAGCTTTACTGAACAAAGCCTGGGGCGGCCACACCTTCCTGTCCTCAGGGAGGGGACTTGGATGAAGACATTCAGGAAGCCCATCCTGGTACAGGGGAGCCTGGAAGCTGAGGTCACTGTGCAGCTCTAGTCTGGAGTAGTCTCAGTCCTGACCACTCCTGAGGCCACCAGGAACTCTGCACCCTTCCCATTCCTGTTTAGGGAGAAATTTCTTGGGGACAGGACTGGCAGCAGTAAGTTTTACTGATGACGGTGATGTGGTTGTTGTGTGTGGCCAAATCTGAGACCTAATGAATGATTGCTTTTTGGGGAAAACCCACTCCTCTACTCATGTTGTATGAGGGACGAATCCTCTCCGCAGAACATTAAAACGTGACAATGAGGGCCACGGATTTAGCTCAGTGGTTCTGCTGCCTGCTTCGCAGGCGCAAGGATCCAAGTTTGATCCCCAGTACCAAAAAAGAACAAACCCAAAACAAAACATGACAATGAATGTCTAAGGATCCACTGAGTGTGATGGCATGTGCCTGTAATCTCAGCATTCTAGGTGGCTGAGACAGGAAGATTGCAAATTTGAGCCCAGCCTGGGCAACTTAGTGACTTAGCAAGAATGTGTCTCAAAATAAAAAATGAAAAAGAGCTGGGGATACAGCTCAGTGTGAAGCCTCTGGATTCAATCCTTAGTATCAAAATAAATAAATAAATAAATACATCCAAAAGAACATATAAGAACCAAGAAAATATGATACTTGAATAAAGATTTACAGCATATGCTTTTCAAATTGAGGGATGTCCTAGGAGTAGAGTTAAAACTTGAATGAGAAAACCAGGCTCAACACAGTCGGATAGGTTGTAACAGTGAGCTGTGACCAGCAAAATGAAATTAAGTGAGGCACAGACAGTAAGTTGGGCAGTAAAATGCACAAGCCACAGCAGTATGAGGCCCCAAGATCTGGTCCTACAATGATAGTGAATCTGTGGAGTGCTTGCAGTGCCCGAGCCCTCACATAGGGTTGTGTGTCTGTGTTCTCTACTTAAACACACTCAACTCACACGAACAATTCTCCCACAGACCACTGTACAAAAGTATAAACTGGGGTTTGCAGAGGTTCAGTAACTTGCTGGCGCTCACCAAGTGGGCTTTTAAAAGTCACTAAAAACTAACTGGTGGACACTGGTGCAAGATGTGGCTCTTCTTGATGCAGTGAGATGCTCACACCTTCTACAGCCACCAGGCAGCATCTGCCATGCTACACAGATGCTCTGCACTGCCTTCCCAAGCACGGGCACACCAAGGCTACAGACCCCATCACTGTTTAGGCTTCCCAGGAGCATGGCCTCAGGCAAGTGCAGGCCAGCACCTCCCTAGAGCAGAGCTCAGACCAAGTTCAGACTCATTTTGCAGCACAGATCCCAGCTCCCCTCCAGGCTGGCCAGGCTGCTAAGCACTCTGACCGCTTCTTGAAGCCAGGGAAGGGCAGCTTGAGGAGAAAGAGAAAAGTACTCAGGAAACCCCAGAACTGCTCCCAGAGGCTCCCTGTGTTAGGAACACAGAGCAGGTATCTTCTGGGGTGACCCAGAGGACAGAATTGCTAAGGACAGAGAGAGGAATGATAGGGAAATTTGCCCTTGTGGCAGGGAGGAATTTTTCCCAAATTGCAGGTACTCCAACCTGGAAACTCATTGGGAGAGATAGGAAACTTCTAGGTGCTGAGTCCACTGAAGCTGGGTGGAGCCTAGCAGATGCTTAGTGAGAGACAGAGCAGCACTAGAGAGATGGGAAAGGGATTAGGGCTGACTCAGCATCCTTCCTGGACACTGGCAGGTTGGGGTGGAGAAAGTGCTCCATAAAGGTGAGCACTGGACCTCCTGACAAGCAATTTAGCTATACTCTGTCCCCACCCTTCTATATACCTGAGAGCCTGACCCCAAGGTTAGAATTAGGTGCCGGAAGGAAAAGGCATCACCTGCCTGCTCTTGTGCTGCATCCCGTTCATGCCTGAATCCCAGCTCCGGGCTCCAGTGGACACCTTCAGGGGAGTGACAGCTCTTGGGGCCAGGCAGGCATTCACCTAGAGAGTGCCTGTGGTCTGAGTCTGGTCTTGGCCTCCCATTGGGCACTCACTCTGCCTGCTGACCTCTCTCTACCTATCTTCATGGTTGTCAGGCCAACACACTCTCTTGAGCAAGCTTTCTTGAAAACAGGCTGCTTTTCAAATATGTGCCCTGGAAAAGCAGTATTCTTCTTGGTGACCAAGCTTGGTGCCCTTCTGTCCTGTTGTCAAGAGCCCGGGGGGCTAGAGCAGTGTGAACTCTGCCTGCACAGGCCTTGTTGGGCTCCATTGTGTTTAGGTCAGTCCTGGTTGGAAGACTGCTAATCCTTGGTCCCCTGGTGACCGCATCATCCCTTGGGGAGTGGAGAGCACCCTTTGCTGTGCTCTGGAGTTGCAGTTGTTCATACCTTAGCCCCTTGCTGTCCCTTGTCTCCTGAGCTCCCTGAGGTAAGTGCCCACATGTCCATCACACTTCTGTCTTCCACAGTGCTATGCACCACTGTCAGAGACCAGAGGAGAATTGAGGCCTAATTGGCCTCCTCTGTGAGCACAAAGGAGAAAGGCTGCACTCAGGGGTGATTACATATTACAGGGTCTAGGGAAAAGTTAAGACACCCAAAGTTAAGCTGTTTACCAGAGTATGTACTAATTGGAAAGCAGATGAATCTTGTGTTACTTTGATTGCTTGTGCCCATGTTTGGGTGAATAAATGTCAGTTGAGCCAGACGCTGGGGGCTCCTCTGCCTATTAAGAGGCAAGAGCCTGCTGGCTGCCCCCATGTTAAACTGACTGTGTATCTCTTTGTCATTCATCCTCCTTCACCCGGGGACAGTACTTGAAAAGTACTGTCGAATGGATGAATACATCGTCCAGACTGGAGACCTTTGGGATTCCTAAGCTTGTTGTCCTCACCCCACCTGTTGGAGGCAAGACTGCTGTGAGAAGGTGAGAGAGAAGAGGCTGCCCTTGCAATGGTCACAGAAATGCAGAATCTAGAAAGTCCAGCTCCTGAGACAAAGCAGCATGGCTCAGCACTGTCTGCCCTACCCCAGGCTGCATCTTGCTGCCTTCTGGTCACCTCCTCTGAATCAGTAAAGCTGGCTTGACCTAGAAATGCAGCGAAGGAAAAGCACTGCTCAAGGCTGCCAGAGCTGAGTTCTGGGGCTGAGGCATGGTGGCCTTCAACAGAGTACATCTAGGGCAAAAGTGGCAGAGTTCAGGCTCCTGTCAGCTGGTGGAGGCGGGAGTTGTTTTCAAAATAAACAAGCGGCCCCTGATCTGAGAGCAGTGGCCTCCCTAAGCAGAAGGGAGTCAAATGGCCCATTCTGCTAAAGCAACAGAGCGGCCTGTGGGTGGACTGAGCAGATGTCCAAATGTTAATCAAGCTCTTGGGTGCAAGACAGGGTTTATGGACAGGTTTATGGACAGGGTTTACGTGACACTGCAGAGAAGGAACCAAACATTATCTGCATCTTCCCATGTCTCTTTCTTTTGTCTCTCTTTTAAGGCTTTCAATATTTATGGGTTATCTTGAGCTATTCAGTACATGTATACACTGTGTGGTGTTTATATCAGAGTTCTTGTCCTCAAACATTTGTCCTTTCTTTATAGTGACCAAATCGGGAATCCCTTTTCGTGCTGTTGAAGTGCACAGCATTTTGTCCTCATCTGGGTCCTGTCCTGCCCCTCTCACTGTCATCCAGGCGTTTGGTAGAGGTCTCAGGATTGCTGCCCTGGAGACAGGATGACAGGCCATCCTATGGTGGTGTTTGCAGGGTGCTGCAGTGTGGGGGCAGTGGAGGGGCACTGCTGTGTGGAGCTCCCGAGACTGAGATCCAGAGCTGCAGGTGCTGACAAGACAGGGCTGGCTTAAGGGGGGCAGGGTTAGTGCAGTGAAATACACGTGATGTGTCACAGTGTGCAGTTCTGTGGCATTGAGTACATTCATACTGTGCAGCTGTCACCACCATCCATCTCTGAAGTATTTCCATCCCCCCAAACTGAGACTGCACATAGGATTCCTCCCCACCTCACCCCTCCTCAGCCCCTGGACCCACTGTCCTCTTTCCACCCTCCAGGGATCTCATATAAGTGGACTCACATAGTGCTTGCCCTTTTTCAGCTGGCTTATTTCACTGCATAATGTCCCCAAGGTCTGTCCAAATTGTCACATGTGTTGGAATTTCCTCTCTTCTTCAGGCTGAATAATACACCATTGTATGGATATACTAAAGGGATGATAGTTTGATATCCAAATCCTACTTGAAAATTTGTAAAACATATGTCTGGCAATTTTTTGTTTATTTTCTCAATAGTCTCTACTGATCTTGAATCTGGTCCCAGTTGAAAATAAATAAAGATATAACAAAATATTAGAGAATGACACTTCATATTTCCAGTGTTGGAAGAGATGTAGGAGAGCACATGGGAACATTGTCTCCTCAGCCATCATGCCAGTCTGAGGGGTCTTCTCATCTCCTGTTTCCACGTCAAGAGCAGGGTCAGACCCTGAGCTGGTGTCTACCTAAACAATGCCTCCATCAGGAGAGCAAAAGGATCCATTAATGTGATTTGGAATGGACACATTTAAAGCAAAAAGCACATTTTTCTCTCTAACTCTCACTCAACACGCTTCTGACCCCTATAATTTAATTCTGATAGTATCCGGCTGGAGACAGTGTCAGACCTTCCAGGCTGAGGGCTCAGTCCCACAAGACTGCCCTGCATGTCAGATGCCACTTGCAGCCGCAGGTTGTGACTGGAACTTCTGACCTATTGGCCATAAGTTGGGCTTCTCCTGACTTCTTCAGGTTTCATGAATTTGCTAGAGTGGCTTAGAGAACTCAGGGAAACACATTTACCAGTTTATTATAAAGGATACTACCAAGGATTCAGATGAAGAGATCCAGAGGTTGAGGTATGGGGAAGGGGTGCAGAACTTCCATGAAATCTCTTCATAACCCTAGACAATCTTGTCACTTATCTCTGACATTTTCTTTGGCCCCACACAGAATTCCAAGGAGAATCATTCAGAGTTCACTGGTCTCTTCTGCTGCCCAGTGGGTCTTGTTCTGGACCAACACTATATACAGTCTGCTGCTGTCCACTCATGCTGAGGGCAGAGCTGTCATGACCCGTGCAGCACTAACCTGGAATTAGCTTCAGAGATCTGCAAGTGGAGTAGCCTGTGATATCTTCCGGGGGCAGCACTTGATTCATTAGCTGTGATGCTTGTCAGGTCGTGGCCAGATGCACCTAGCTTGCGGGCAGTGTGAGGACTGAGTTAGTGTATGGATGTGCCCAGCAGGTGGCTGAGGCGAGGGTGGGGATGGAGTTCTCGTTGGCTCAGTTTACCCTTGTGTACATGGACCAGCCTGGTGCTCTTGCCATCTCTTTGGCAGAGCTCTGTAGAGGTGACCTTTCCTCAGTGTGCCCGTGGTGGCCTCAGAACACACATATCCCAGAGGCACCCAGCCAGGCCACACAGGGGTGATGGAGAGAGTCAGCCCTTCTTCCCAAGCCCAAGGTGGCCCTGGAGTTGGACAGCAGAGCAGATGAAGCTGTGATTAAGGAACTCCAGAGAAAAGTAGCCTGACATGGACTCCTGGTCCCATCTCTGGAGAGTTGCAGAGGGTGGGGGACACGGACCTACGTTTGGACTGAGGCCTCAGGATCTCTTCTAGCTCAGAGCTGAGAAGCAGTTTTAGGAATGATGAGACCACTTAGGGCAACACAGCAGCACTGGCAAGTCAATACAGGGCTGCCCTGAAGAGTGAGTCCCTTGGGGAGGGTTTACACTTGGCCCCCTGACTCAGGCTTGGCTCTGAAGTGTCAGGAAGCTCTTTTGGGATTCCTTCCAAAATTTGTTTATTTTGGCTGTGTGGTCTGGACAACATGTCTTAGGTATAAAAAATGACTCTTATTTCACACCACCATTCTCCGCAGTGTCTGCTTTAAACTCCGAAATGAGAGTTTTCTTCTACAAACAGGCAAAATTGCCTGGAACTTTTTGGGTATATACAGTGAAAAACAATGCTGGGTAATATAATTTTTGGTGAAAGCCCAGAAACAAGACTGGCAGCTCACAAACTAGCCCTGAGGGCAAGTCCAACGGGGGACCCCAGAAACATTTGTATTAGGTGGGTTGGGGTTGGGGGGCCGCATCTGAGATCACACCAGCTGCCACTGCTGATGGTGGGATTTGAATTTACAAAGCACACTGATTCTGGCTGAGGAGCCTCTTCCAACACGGCCCAGGATTTCCTACTGCAGAAATGATGCTCTTTTCTGAGATTTCCCTGTTGTCACTGTGCAGCCAGTGACCCTCCCAGTGCTGGTGTGGAACAGGTCTGTCTTGGAGCCTGGAAGCTTTCCAAGGCCAGACAATAGCTCCTTCACCCAGGATCCTCGAAACTGGGCTCAGATTACTCCCTGTCCTGATACCAGGAAATTTATTTTTAGATCAGAGAGAGTGTAGGGAGGAGGAGGTTGGAGGAGGGGTCAGTGGAAAAGTGCTGGTAAATGGTTAGCAATTGTCCCTAATGGGAAGGAAAATTGTTTAGAAGAGATGTGATTGAAATATATGGGGAATATTTAAATTTTAAAAAATTATTACAGTAAAAGGCACCGTGCCACCCCCCTCCATGTTTCCTCTCCCTTCGAACACACTTATCCCACTACAGTGTATTCTTGCCACTTTCTAAAGCGGTTCTGGAAGTCCTCTTTTATGAGTGTCTTTGTGAGGTGGGATCAAAAACACAGTGAATGTGCTGCCTAGTGCCTACAACAGAAAGGCAGGCTTGTAAAACATGAGGGTGTGTCCTCATCCAGTGTTCTCTGGATCTGGCACTGCAGGACTTCTGGCTCTTCTCCAAAGTCAAAACAACCATGAAAGGAAAACATTTTGAATCGATTCAGGACATGGAGGCGCCATGACAACACGACTAAAGACCCTAATAAGGACTTCCAGAAATGCTTCAGAAAGTGGCAAGAACAATGGGATAAGCATGTTTGAGGTGAGGGGGAATATTTTGAAGGTGATTAATGGTAATGTATCTTTTATTGTAGTAAATTGTAAAAATATTTAAACATCCACTGCATTTTTTTAATCACACCAGGTGTATGTTTCTTTGTGCAATAATATTTCCTCTAGAAAGGTGTAAAGCAGATAAAAGTTCACAGATTAAAAGTTACACACAGTACTCTTCACTGCACAATCCACGTGGCCAGTATGTGCCCACAGGACACTTTTGAGGACTCATGCCAGACTTTCATGACTACAGAAAGCCTCCAGCAGCTGCTCAGCCATGATTCCAGCCTGCTGGCTCTTCTCCCCAAATCTGCCATTAAATTGGATATGATCAGCTCCTAGATGATTTCCCACCTTGCCTTGTATCAATTACATGGATTGAAACAAAACCTCTCCCTGTTTCAGCACTGCCCATTGCAATCGTACCATCTTTTTAGCTTCTGTACAGTTGCAGGGATTGGAGCAGTGTTCAATTCTACATTGTTTCATCATGGTTGTGATCAACAACTAGTTTGCACCCTTCCCCAAAGTTAACAATTGGTTCTGAGAGCTGGCTGCAGCACATACCGGGGTGAGTGCCCAGCTGTGGTCATGTTGGGTTGGCCATATCTTTGGAAAAATGTTTCAGTGTTGTCTAGACTCATCCAGATTTGCCATTGGTGTCACTGTTAGCCATAGTCTGCCCTAGTATAAGAAGAGAGGAACAAGTCAGATAAATGTCCTTCCCCAGAAGTGTTCTGGTAGCTCCCAAAACGGCCAGATGGACTTAGGACAAACAGAAAAATATTTATCTTGTCACCTCCTGTCAAACTGAACTCTTAAAGATGGGGGCAAAGGGTGTTCTTGCAATATACAAAGAAGATGGCAGCTCTCTTCACAGCCAGGCTGCACACATACACACACACACACTCTCACTCACTCAGGGCCCAGGATGAATTGTCAAGCTCATTTAGTAAGTATCCATCTTAGAACCAACTTCATTTGCCATTTGCTTTAATCTTTCTGTACTAAAAAGAACCCCACAGAACGAAGAAAAAAAAGAGATAAACATAAATATTTCTCTTCTGAGTGGCCCAAATCCATCTGGCCAGCACTTCGGGATATGTGTGGAGTCCACATTCAGTTAATCTAAGCATCTGACTGCTCCCTCTTTTGTAAACACAGGGTCTTGGTCCAGGATTAGCTTCCCAGCCAGTAATAACTGGGGAGGACTCAGGTTGCCACAATTTTCCTTTGATTCTTTGTTACAATTAGTCTGTTTTAGAATCTAGTCTGTTTGGAGCACACAAGTGTCTGTCACCATGTTTTCTGTTAATGGATGGATGGAGTGCACAATGAATTAACACAAATGGCAATAATATATATATATAGTACTGTTTTATATTATTTTATATAATAACATTATATCTAACTATGAATAACTGTATATATAATATACAAAAATATGTATCTGAATAAACCTCAGCCCAACTGCCAAACCACTCTGCCATCCTGGAAGTGCCACTGCGCAGGAGCAGAGAGAGGACTTGCCCTGCACGGGTGCTGAGCCCTTCACAGCCAAGCTCCAGGGCGGTGGCTGGAAAATGAGGCTAAGGTAAGGGTGTGCTGTCCTGGACTTGGGCACGGCCCACTCCTGTGTTGGGCTATACGTGTGGAGACTGGCCACGCATGCATGTGTGCAGCGCATACTCACACACACACAGTGCTGTCCTGCCTCTCTCCATGGCTTCTGTATGCTCAGGGTGCATGTGCTTGCACACATGTGCACTCATGCACACACACACACACACACACACACACACACACACATACACTTTCCCTCCCTGAGAAGTATCAACAGTTATCTGCTCACACACTTAGCTTTCATGCTTGGACTAATTTATTTTATTTCAAGTGCTGAAAAATGTAGACTAAGTTCTGAAATCCTTGCAATGAGAATTTCTCTCCTTTTATAGCTTTCCTTTCCTCTTGCTTTTCTATAGCAGCATCTGTTTGCCCACAGCTGGTCCCATGCTGGGCTTGTGTTCAGGTGTCTTTCCCAGTGCTCAGTGATTCCTAATGGTTCCTGGACTCATGTGTGCCCAGGAGCAGCTGGGACTGACTGACTTATGCCCCTTCAGTGACTTTGACCTAAGTGACATGCTCTGTGTCCTCTTCCTGTGGGACGTGTGAGGCGTTGCTGAAGAGGTGAGATCATCAGAAACATGCGGCATCTGTGGTTGGGTACATTTGCCTAATTTGGTTGTAGGAAGTTTAATACAATTAGCTATCCTGAAGTAATACATACAAAAATAAAGATAATAAGTAAAATTTAAATGCAGAAGTAGATGATCGAATCATCTTGATAATAGCCAACATTTCTGAGTACAAGTTCTCATTTAACCCCTTCAGTGAGAAGTGGATGAGGACAGAACCAGAGAAGTCAAATGACACACCGAGTGCCACACAGCTCTCACAGACCTGTGGGAATTTGAGACAACATTTCCTTGCCCATAGCCTGAATTCTGCATCTTTACTCTTCATTATCCACTTACAGTGGATGCTCCTAAAGTGGGAACCAAAATTCAAAATAGTGATAAATTGATTTGGGACATTCTCTTGAAAAATTGAACTAGCAGGTATACAAATAAATTTATTTTCTCATATATAAGGCAAACTTGTTTTTATTGAAAATATAAGAAATTAGGATGAACTGAAATATTTGTGGGGTTTTTTGAAATAATTTTTTCTGCATAGTATTTTGTGTTCCCATCTGGAAATAGCATTATAAGGAAGCAAGTTTTTATGTGTGTACCTATTAGTTTCCTGAAGGCCTCTCCTAGGCATTCAGAGGATATTTTGTGCATCTGTGGGTGTTCTGTGATCTGCATGGCTTTCCTTTCCAGTTCCTGGCTGAAGACAGCTTGCATATTCGCATGCCTGTGTAAGCATGCAATGGCCCTCCTATGTTACTTCCATCCACTGATCATCATTTTGCATTGTGTCCAAATGTTCAACTTTCATTGGTCAAAATCACAATAAGACCTACTGTGGTAAGTTGGAGAATCAGTAGGAATCTCCTCCTCTCCCCCAGCCTTATCCCTAGACCTAAAAACTTTGAGTTTGGTCATGTAACTTACTTTGGCTAGTGGAGTGTGGGTAAGGTGAAGTGACCCATCCTCTGTCCCTGGCCTTGAGAAGACCCTGGTCTAAGGAGGATTAGAGGCACCTGGAGAAACCTCAACCTGACACCAGGCCACCTCTGCTCACAGAGCCACTACCTCACCCTGCTAGACCAGCTCACAGGGGTCAAGCTGTAGACCTGCAAGTGGGAGAGGCCCACTTTGGGTTACAAAGCCTGCCACAGCAACACCTCATATACCCTAAATGCCACTTTCAAATGAGGGGAGAGAAGTGGGGTTGATTCCTTGGTGAATATCTTCATCCGAGGACGATTTTGTTCCCCTCACAGCTTTGCAATTATGATGACTCTGGTAACATATACTGACTGGGTTCTTTAGGACAGTGCAGACCTACCCAGCCAAGGCCGTGGTTAATCTAAAAGTTCTACTTGCAGTTGCCCTGGCTTCTCAAGAAGCCCTGGGTTGTCAACCACTTCTGTAATCTTTTTTTTTTTTTTTTTTTTTTTGGTACTGGAGATTGAACTCAGGACCTTGCGCTTGTGAGGCAGGCGACGGAACCACTGAGCTAAATCCCCGGTCCTGTGTCAACCACTTCTACCTGGTGTGTACTTTGCACCTAGCCTGTCTCCAGAGCAGGTGGGGGAAGGGATGGGAGGATCCAGAGTCCCCTTAGGAGGAGGAAGTCAGTCCATTCCAAGGTCCCACAGGGACAGTGTTGGCACTGGGTGCTGCCATGGCTTTAAAACCTCAGAATTTCTGAACCATAATGAAAAGAGGAAGGCATAGCTCCTTAGTGAAACAGCGTATTGAAATTTGCTGAAGTGTCTCAAAAGGAGTTGAGCTGGTTATGGTGTAACCTGCCCTGCACCCCCACCGTACCCCAAGTGAAAGGTGAATTTTCTAATTACTGGGTAAGGGGGAGCCTGGCAGGAGGGAGGGACGTCAGGTTCAGAGGGAAACTTCTTAGGAACAGAGCTCCACAGGGAGGCTGCCTGCCCCACCTCCACGTGGGTAGATCAGTGGCCCAGAAGTCCTGTCCCCTTATGGCAGAAGGCCTGTGTAAGGGAGGTGATCACAGCAGGGCTGAGCAGGCTGCAGAAGCCTCCAGGTCGGGCATTCTCTCATCTGGATTCAGCTGCAAAATGAAGACTACGTCCCTCCTGTGAGAGAGTGAGTCTGCCCAGAGGGTGGGACAGATGGACTGGGTATACTCTGCTGCAGTTCGTAAGTGCTAGCCTTCCTCCTGTTTAGATCCAAATGAAAGAGCAGTAACCATTCAGCCTTTTCGGATTCTGGCAGAGTCACAGCCTATGGAGGGAGCTTTACTGAACTGTCCCCCTAG